TGGTGCACACATTAGCAGACACTGAAAACGTCAATATCAAAGTTACTGGTGCTTGCTTCTTGGTGTATTTAAACTCTCGTTAGGAAGAAAATGTCAGTATCACCATAATGTCTGTGCTAGTCTGCGTCTCACTGGTACTGATAGCACAACTGAAAGCTTGTCTGTGGACACTGAGAATACCACAGAAGCCGGACGGTGGTGGCGCACTCCTTTAATCCCAGCACTCGGGAGGCAGAGGCAGGCGGATCTCTGTGAGTTCGAGGCCAGCCTGGTCTACAGAGCTAGTTCCGGTACAGGCACCAAAAGCTACAGAGAAACCCTGTCTCGAAAAACGAGAGAGAGAGAGAGAGAGAGAGAGAGAGAGAGAGAGAGAGAGAGAGAGAGAGAGAGAGAGAGAGAGAGAGAGAGAGAATATACCACAGAAGCCAGGTGAAAGCAGGAACTGATCAGACTGATTTTTTTGCCAGGGTAGCCTTGAGAAAATGAACAAATGGTGTTGCGAATTCTAAACTCTATGCCAGCAGTTTCATTTAGGACTGAGGAAGAACTGAGCACAGAGAGGTGCTCATGGAGCCCTCTTACACACGTGTGGTAACACCAGAGCCAGAGTACTGGGGAAAATAGGCATGAATCAACACGAATTGGTCAATGGAATATGGCAAGCCTGGGGTGTGTGTTCAATGGCAGAGCAGAGAGGGACTGGGAAGTCCTTTGTCCGGTGACTGCTGGGTGAAGTTGTAGACATCACATCATAGCTAAGATGCCAGAAAATAGATATGACTTGTGGCACGGAAAGGTTTGAAAGGAATGAACTTTCCTTGTGTTTAAGGGTTACAGCTGAACTTTGAGAGATGTCATTTTATTTCTTTCTTTGAAACTTTGAAATGGCCAGGCTCCAGAAAAAGGGACTGCTAAGCATCCTCCCGAAGAAGGACACTGGCCCAGTGTACCCCCAACATTCCTCTCTAGCTCTCTAATACCATGGTCAACTCTGCGAGAGACATTCTTCCCCAAAAATGTTCTATTTAGTTAGCACTTAGCCTTGGTGAGGAAGCCTGTGTCTATCACATGTTAGCCAAGCCTGCTTTTTCACCTGTGCGGTTTCCTCTTCAGCTGCAAGCTCGGCACACAACAAGCACTCTAATGACGACGGCTACCACTACTGCGGCCCAAATGAAGCAGCATAAGGCAGTGCCTCACCCACGGTTTGCAGTGAGTGTTAATGAAAAAGTACCAATTGTGAAGGAAACTTTGGGTCAAAGCAGGCTTTATCTCCCTGCAGAAGGTACCATAGCATTCGCGGTAGGAAAACTATCACCATTTACACAACTTTGGGAAAATCACTGAAACCTGCATTCGCCCTCCTCCTCAAAAGGCAAACAGAAGTGGATTCGTTGAACATTAGCATTACTTCCAGTTTTGAAAGAATCTGGACGCCTAGAGGCTACCAGAATTTAGTGCACACTACAGATGTGTGGAGTAAGCACTGTATAAGACTCTAGTGGTTAATGGAGAAATAGTAGGAATTGATTAAAAACTTAGAGTTCATGACTGCAAAGATGGCTCACCAGTTAAGAAAGCCTGCTGCGTAGTCACGAGCACCCACAAAAGCCCAACATCCCTCGTATCCAGTTCCAAAGGAAATGGAGACAGGAAAATGTCTGGGGCTTGCTCGCTTCCAGCCTAGCCAAGAAAAGGTAAGTCCCGGACTGAGGAAGAGAGCCTACCTCAGAAGAGTGGGCAGAGGGTGGTAAGGTAGGATACTCAGCGCCTTCTTCCGGCCTCCACACATGTGCAGAATATGCATACACACACATGCACTCACACAAACACACACATAATAAATGAATATTTTTAGGGAATTAAAGAGGCCAGAGAGGTAGATCAGTGGTTAAGAGCACTGACTGCTCTTCCAGCGGACCTCCGTGTGATTTCCCAGTAGCCGCATGGCAGCTCACAACTGTCTGTAACTCCAGTTCCAGGGAATCGTATGCCCTCTTCTGACCTCCATGGGCACACATGGTCCATATACATACATGTGGGCAAAACTGTCATACCTATAAAATAAATAAATCTAAATAAATTTTAAGAAAACCAAAAACAATTTAACATTTGCAATAGCCTTACAATAAAAACTGGTATAAACTAATTAATTATTTAAATGATAATTAAATGATGAACGGCTGCTAAATAAAGATTTAAAAACAAAACAAACACATCTTAGCTTTACTTATCATTTCCCATTCATATTCAAAGCAAAAAAAATATTTCGAGTCTTCTTACCCCTAAGAATCACATATGTGGCACCTGATGTGGGATGTCCTTCTGCATATGTGTTGCTTTTATGAGTTGATAAATAAAGCTGTTTCGGCAAATGACTTAGCACAGTAAAGCCAGGCAGGAAATCTGAACAGAAATATAGAGGGAGAGTAGGCAGAGTCAGAGAGACACCATGTAGCTGCCGAAAGAGAAAGATGCCCACCAGAACCTTACCAGTAGGCCACAGATTAATAGAAATGGGTTAATTTAAGATGTAAGAGCTACTAGCTAGGAATACGCCTAAGCTATTGGCCAAGTAATTAATATCGTTTCTGTGTGATTATTCGGATCTGGGTGGGCAGAAAATGAACAAGTAGCCTCTTTTCTACAAATGGCAGTCAACATGGACACGAACCCATGACCCTGAGATTAAGAGTCTCATGCTGAGACTGAGCAGCCGGGTACGAGACTTTCTACAGCCAGGCAGTCTCCTTTCTACAAAGAGTCCATGAATGTCTATTGCCAGTAAACTGCCTTACAAACACTGAAGTTTGCGTTTCATGGCATTTTCAAATGTCGTAAAATATTAATAGTCTTTTATTTGAATTTACTGCTTAAAATATACAAAACCATTTTATTTATTATGTGGGGTCTTAGCCCATGCATCACAGTTTGCTGATCCTTCTGGCAATTATATTCTTGGGGGGGGGGACAAAAATGATAGTAGAGGAACTCCATGTTTGGTCCATTGGGGATTTTCAGCGGTGGGGTGTGACAGTGTTAGTTTTTACTGTTCTGCTCCAAGCCGTCCACCACCCCTGCAAGGCAATGATTAAGCATAGCTAAGGTACGGGAGACACCTTGTGGTTGCACTGCAAATGGCAGGCACTTCCCTGGAAGTTACCGTAGTTGTGCGCGCACCCTCTCAGAAGGATGACCCAAGCAAGCAGAGGGAGGCCCGGCCGGCTCCTGGGAAAGCTTGCCAGCCCACAATTGTTGTGTTATTATAGTTGTGGTTGTTGATGAAATGGGGCACGATAAAGTCCAAAGTTCAGCAGCTGACTGTCTCCAAAGAGGGCATCCAAAGGCGGTTCTTCTTCCTATTTTAAAACAGCGGCAGCTGCAGTTTCCAAAACCTTCCTGACGGAAAGCACCAACAACTTCTAGCTCCCCTAGCTCGGTTATAAGCATTAGTGTCTAAGGAGAAAAAAGGAGCTGGGCACTCTTTGCAGATGGTCACAAAAGGAGAAAGAAGCCACAGGTGAAGGACCTAACTACTATTGAAAATCAAAAGTTGAAAGCCGGGCATGAGATTCCAGCACATACCTGTGACTTCAGAAGGCTAAAGTGACAGACTAAGACGTTTGAGGCCAGCCTGGGTTGTGTAGTCGAGACCTTGCCTCGAGAAAGGAGGAAAAAATAAAAAAAGAAATGGAGTTCCACACTGGAAAATGGGGAACGAGGAACTTAACGGCAAAGACCAGTAATCGAAAAGTCACCAGAGCCCTGAGGGGGATGGGATTACTCACTTATCCGTAGAGGCCACACTGTCCCAGGAGTAGTAGACTGTTGTGGGATATGCGATTTGTTCATTTTTGGTAAAGAGTTGAAGCAGTGATGTCTTCCATTCCCCCTACCTCCAGGAGTGCATCACCCAAACTTCCAGTTCTCTGTGCTGGAAATGAAGGAGAGCCTGCACCTTGAAGGTTCTCAACTACCCGTTCATATTGCTATGAAAGCAGAGAGAACTTGAGGTGTCAGGGCTTCTCTCAGCTGTGGGCACCCTCAGCCGCATAGTTGGGGGTAGGTAAGCTGGCAAATAGTGTGTCCTCCGTGCTGGCCGCTCAGGAAGGGCACGGAGTGGGGGTGGAGGCTCAGCCTTGGAGTGGTACTGAGAGAACAGGCTTCCGAGTCCAATCTAGCCCCGCACCCTTAAGACCGAAGTGGATACAAATGTTGATCGCTTTTCCTGGGTCCCACTCTTCTTCCAGAAAATATGGCGTGTGGCAGAGTGATTCGGTTTCCCACATATTTATATGTATTTGGAGCTGAGGGCAATGCGGTAAAGGGGGCCTGACCACCTTTCTTCGCGGCACCAAGGCAACTGGCAGAACCATGTGACAGGACAGGCTGGAGAAGCGCTTCCTCGCAGGCAAAGGAGGAACTGAATGGTATTGAACCCACTTTGCTCTCTGATGGTTTACTGCTTACTGCCCCACCCTCCTCAGAAGCAAGCAATTGAGAGTTCTTGCTAGGCTTGACAGGGCTTTTTTTTTTTTTTTTTTTTTTGTTTGTTTGTTTGTTTAAAGATCTCCAGTGGTCTTAGTGACCAGCGTGATTTCAGTGTGACTTTCTACCACTCGCTTGTGTTTTACCATTAAAGGCTCTGGAATCGTCTCCAAAAACCTCGTTTAACACTGCCAGGTCTGTGCAGGAATCTGGATACTGCCACTGAGACCAATGCAGAGGCCTCTTGGAGAGAGTGTGTCTGTCGCCAGTACCTGACTCCAGCACAGGAAGAGGCTAGAGTCTCTCCCCCACCTACACCCTCCACCCTCACCGCCACCCCAGGACTTGCCTTCGGGGGCTGCCCAGCGTTAGAGAAATTGGCTTGGGCCTTCACGGGGAAAGAAAGAAAACAAACGCTGAAGTTGACACTTAACTACTATGGGGAGGGCCTCACTGACTCCTGATTGGTTTTACATTTCAACCTTTTTTTTCCCCCTCCTCTCCCTCTTTTCTGTTCCTGTCTCTGACCCCAGGGGAGGGAAAACGGGAATAGTGAGAGATCAAAAATAAACCTCTTATGTCAAAGCCGGGAAGGAAGTATAAATACGAAGGGCTCAACAGCCCACTCGGTGCTTCCCGAGGAAGGAGGCGACTTGCACGGGACAGCGTGGAGGAGAGCGCTCGCGACCCGGGGCGCCAGCTGCTGGAGCTTTGCTAGGTTGGCTGGCGGGCGCAGGAGGAGCGGGCTGTGCGAACCAGAGGGGCCGCCAGGGGACCGCCGCGCCTGCTGCCGCTGGCCGAGTCGGCCTCCCCATCTGATTGACCATTTTTCCTGGAGAGAGCGGCCCGGCCGCCTTGGGCCACCAGCACCTGCCTGTGCGCGGCTACCTTCTTCCCTCTCCCGCGCTCCGCAGCCCTCTGCCCTCATGCTCCGCGACCCCGCCGCCGCCCGGTGGCCGCCCCTCCTGCTGCTGCTGCTGCTGTTGCAGCTGCCGCCGCCGCCACTTGTCTGCGGCGCCCCGGCAGAGCCGGGAAGCGGGTCGCAGGCCTCGGAGTTACTGGTGCCCACGCGGTTGCCGGGCAGCACGAGCGAGCTCGCCTTCCACCTGTCCGCCTTCGGCCAGGGCTTCGTGCTGCGCCTGGCGCCTGACGCCAGCTTTTTGGCGCCCGAGTTCAAGATCGAGCGTCTCGGGGGCTCGGGCGCTGCGACCGGGGGCGAACCAGGGTTGCGCGGTTGCTTCTTCTCTGGCACCGTGAATGGGGAGCGAGATTCGCTGGCTGCGGTGAGCCTGTGTCGCGGTCTAAGCGGCTCATTCTTGCTGGCAGGCGAGGAGTTCACCATCCAGCCACAAGGCGCTGGGGACTCCCTGGACCAGCCTCACCGCCTGCAGCGCTGGGGACCGGGGCAGCGCCGGGAGGACCCCGGGCTCGCTGCCGCCGAAGTCTTTCCCCTCCCTCAAGGACTCGAGTGGGAGGTGGAGATGGGTAAGGGACAGGGACCGGACAGAAGTGACAACGAAGAGGACAGGGAGCAGGACAAAGAGGGGTTTCGCAAAGAGACAGAAGACTCCAGCGAACTGCCACCACCCTTAAGATTCAAAACTAGGAGCAAACGGTTTGTGTCCGAGGCTCGCTTCGTGGAAACACTGCTGGTGGCTGATGCGTCCATGGCTTCCTTCTATGGAACCGACCTGCAGGTAGGAGAGACTTCCACGGACACTAACAATCCATAACATCCCTTCTCTTCCCAAATGACTTTCAATTCTTCCCTTCCCACTGGGGCGGGGGAGGGGGATCTTCTAGTTCCCAAGCCCAACCCCAAAGGGGACTTTCTCCTTTCTGAGAAATAGCAGGAACTCCATTAACTTCTGCTATCCCGGCTTCCTACTTCCCAGCCCCTAGATCCCTTCCAATTTACAGTAGAGGTGTTGACTCTGACTCTCCCGAGATGCATCCCGAATCTCCCGCAGTCCCCAGGCACCTGCTTCCCCCAAAGGAGATGAAAACTTTTTTTAAGAACCCTGCTCCTCCTGGGCCTGCTTCCTGCAACTCTCTACAGTCCGTGACTCTTTGGGGCTCCCTAGGACAGGAAGCTGGGTTGGGACAAGGTGGCTGTGACTGTCTTTGGGTACAGAACTGAGGTTCCTGTAAGTGAAAGACGTTAGAGGAATCTGGAAGCAAGCTGTCCAACTTCTGTACGCCCAGCTGGTTCTGATCAAGGGGCACGGGCTACCTTGCCAACCTGGCGCTCAGCCCTGGCAGAACTTGGCAATGCCAGCATCCAGTACAAGAAGGGAGAACAGAATTTCTGCCTAGGGGGCTCAGCCCAGAAAACTGAAGTTTCAGTGAAAGGGGAGGGAGCTGGGCTAAAGGATGAACTTTTTCTGTCTGTGTCTAAAGGACCCAGAGCTGAGCTTGGTCCACTCAGACACCCTCAGCTCAGAATCAGCTTTCAAATGGCCTGGGCAGAAAAACTGAATCCAAGCAGTAGCCGAGCGGGTTTTTAACTGCATGCAGTTGGTGCTGACTCAGCAAGATGTGCCCACAATATCTCCCTCCCAAAACAAAACAAAAATCTTACCAGAAGGAGAAGCGATAAGGGTCGCATCTTCCGGAACATATAGAAACAGATGTTAACTCAGCTAGAAGAAGCTGACCTGCTCAGAGATCCCAGTTCCCCCAGTCAGGGATCCCAGCACTATAGCAGCCCAGTTCGTGGTGGTGTCCTTGTTAGGGTCCTCATCCTAGACTCAAACTGTGCCTGACTGTTGGGGGTGCCAAGGACATGGGCATTACCTTTGCGGAATGGCCAGACAAGGGGACAGCCAGCCTTCTGCTTTTCATCTGGTCCACCTTTCTGTTATGAAGATGTGCTTGATGAGACAGTTCCAGTGAAAACCGGGAGGAGAGGGCAGGAAGGGCTGTGGGTGGAAGTCTGCATGATTGCTTGTCTATCTAGTGCACAGACCCATTAAACCCGGGGCAGGCTTCCTGCATGCTTTTGTGGTATTGGCTTTGCTCAGAGCCCTGCAAGACAGCCCTGAGCCATCGGAGCCTTGAGGTTTAATCTGTGCTGATGTCATATTTGATTCTCTGCCTACCCTAAGAGGAGGCACCAGCCACTTCTTCTGACTCCTTTCCCCCAGTAAGTATTGGAAATATAGAATAGGGTGAAGAGAGGACTTCCCAATTCACCAGGACCTGTACATCTGGCTCTAGGCTCCTTCAAGAACAAACCCAAAGCTAAAACTTACATCTATGCCCAAATTAGACCAGTCTCTGACATCTGCTTGATAGCCAAAATGTAGAAAGACCAGCAAGAACACGGAGAAACTGCAGGAAAGTCAGTTTTTCAGAACTCAGAGCCAAAATGTCCTCCCTAGCACCTCTCGCAGCTCCTCATTTAAACGCTGAGATGTTAAACATTTCCTTCAAGGATGTACTTGGCATCTCCAGAAACCACAGCTGTCCAGCCTCCAGAATTCTCGAGCTACTGAAGCAGGACATCTGGTTCTGGCCAGGTTATGCTGACTTCTGCTTGAGGTCCAGGTTTGTTGCTCATACGAGTTGACTTTCTCTGTGAAAACCACCAAGTCCTGATATTTTAAGACCCGGCTTGTTCAACCCTCCACCCCAGCCTCCCTACAGAAGCCAGTCCTTAAACATAACCTGCAGGGATCCCCTGAGCGATTCATTCACACCGATAGATTGCACTTTGGGGTGTCTTTGAGTCACAAGCAGGCAATGGTGATGACAAGAGCCCCTGATTTTCCAAGGAACACCAAGACACTTGGACAAGGTAATGGATTCTGGTCTACGCATCTGTGAGACTGCTTCATGATGAGCCAACTTCTGGAAGATTCAGTCATTCCCTGACCATGTTTCATTTACAGGATGGTTTTACATGCATGACCTCAATGGAAATGCTTGTGAGAGAGGCAGAGGAGGAATATGCAGCTCAAAGAGGACTTGTGACTACTTTCCTAAGGTCACACTGGTAGGTGTGGCAAATCTAGCTTGCCACACCTCCCAGATTTCCTGAGCCAAAGTCTAGCATTCTCTGCTGCTGTACCATGCTGCGTCTTCTCATGAGGAAGACCTGTGGTTCTAGCCACACTCTCACGGTTGCCTGCTTTGTGGCATGGCTCCTTAAATCTGGCAGACTTGGGATGCCCCAGCAAGGTGCCAAGCCCCGTTCTGAGAAGAAACCACCTTTGTCTTCAAAGCTTCAAGAGTCAGCTATGATCCAGACTGGTATTACTGCTGGCGACAATGACATTTAACAGGGCTCTGCAACTGAGTTCACTTAATCCCTTCACGAGGAGGGCCCCTGCCCCCCACCTTATTACCTGGATTCAGAGTTAAGGGCTCATCGTAAAGCAGTCTCAGAGATGCATAGACCAGATTCCGTTACTTTGTCCAAGTGTCTTGTTGTCCCTTAGAGGATCAGGGACTTTTGTCATCCCCATCGCCCGCTCAGTGACCCAAAGACACCCCCAAAGTGCCATCTATCTGTGTGAACGAATCTCCCAGGGGATCCCTGCAGGTTACATGTTAAGGACTGGCTTCTGTAGGGAGGCTGGGGGCGGGATGAATAAGCCGGGTCTTAAAATCTCCAGACTTGGTTTTCTCAGAAAAAGTCAACTCGTATGAGCAACCCACCTGGACCTCAAGCAGAAGTCAGCATAACCTGGACAGAACCAGATGTGCTGTTTCAGTAGCTCGGGAATTCTGGAGCCCGGACAGCTGTGCTTTCTGTCAGAGTTGGGACAGCTGGGGGCTTTCTGAAAAGAGGGACCACCTTGGGAGCGTCCATTAACTTTGTCTACATCTCGGGTGCTACTAAGTGTCCCCTGGATAACCTTGGAGCAGAACAAAGTTCCGGCAGTGAGCAGACCTTCTGAGCCTTCTCTTCAGCAGGGAGGGTCTAGGAGTGGTGCTCTTCTTCCCCAAAGCAGACTGGAGCACTCCCAGATGTCAGGGTCCTGGGAGATGATTCCAGGAACAGGCTGTTGCAACCATCTCATTTACCTCTACCTTCCAGAGTGAAGGCTTCCTACCAGCCCTAGTACTATAGCTGTCCTATACAATGGATTGCCACGAGGATCTCTGCTTGGTAGCCTAAATAAAAAAAAACAGTGTCATCTCTTGATGTCAGCAGTGTGATAGTTTGGGTGATAGACAGGTATTGGTTTCATTAGCTCTGTAACTATGTCAGTCTTCTTGGGTGGAAGACTGTTATGTTACATTATGTTCAGCCCATTTTCTCAACAATGAGTCCTTTCCATCTCTTGCATCTGCTGCAGTCAGAGTGAGCAAAGATACTATTTCCCAAAGAAAATGGCCAATATCCTAACCTTGGGGGTGGAATGTAGATCATGGCAGCGTAGCTCGGCATTCTTATTTGCTTGCAAACTTTGGGTTTGGTTTTCCTTGTAGCAGCCAAGACTGATAGTAGTGTGGGGCCAGGAATATAGACTTAGGAAAGACGAAGTCGCTGAGAGTTTCTAAGCAAGCATCTATCTCTCTGTACCTTGATTTCTTCACCAGGGAAAAGGGAGCAGGCATGCCCAAGCACTGAGGCTGTCTCGAGAATGTAGCAAAGTGTGGAAGCCATCTGTGCTCAGTAAGGCACACCTATTCCTAGGGTTGTCTTTGGTGATAAAATCCACTTGTCAGCATGAGACTATGTGGCCACACATACTAGAATGCGCTTAGCCACTGCTTTTTAGCTTTGCTGTCCCGCAGGGCAGAAAGAAAATCTTTGCGATTGCCCCAGCTCTGAGTTCAAGGTCGGTTTCTGGCGGTTGTGGATAAAGCTAGCTTTTGCAACAACACCTTTTGCTGGTTGGGGAGCATGGTGAGATGAAGGATGGCTATGTGAGCCTCACTCTTTTCTCTCCCTCTGCTTCCCCCTTTTCTCCTTAGAGCACTATCCCAGAGCCTAGCGTCACACCTAGAAGTAAGAGTAAGGATGCCATGTGTGGACATATATTGCCACATCCCCAGGCATGCCACACGGGATTTAGTTTAGCATCCGTCATGTGCGAGCAAAGAAGCGAAGTACTAAAGGCGACACTGTAGCCAGGATGAAAGGCCGCTGATAGTGCACTTTGCCGAGGCTTAGTCTCTCCAAGGATCCCAAAGGTAGACTTGGACTGCCATAGGAACATCCAAGAACCTGGGGAAGGAAAGGTCTTGCTTGTAGCTCAAAGAATTTTGGGGGTGGTGACAGAGAAGACTCCCACAGAAGTGCTTCCTTTACCTAGGGAAAATTAAGTTGTTTGACTTACCTTGAGTGTAGTAGTTACGGGCTTCTACCACTCTGGGATAGTTCTGAGGGTTGCCTGCCAAACACCAAGGGGCCTCAGTCAACAGGGGGAAGAATCTCATTCCTAGTCTTTAGCTCACAGTTTGTGCTTGGGTAGTAAGCAGGAAGGTATAAATAGACACCAGGTGGCAGAGCAAGCAAGCCATCTGACCTTTTCTTTGACTGGCACCTGAGCCTGCTCCCTGTATCTGTAAGTCAGGTCTGTCCTTCAGGACCTGGAGAACAGATGGGGAATCAGAAGCTCACAGGCTCCAGGTGACATGCCTCACCCAAGCTCAGTAATCCTTGTCCCTGGCGAATGACGCCGTGACTATGATGCAGAGTCCTGCCACCAGAAGACCCAGCTGGACATGGGAGATGGCGGAGAAGGTCTGTTCCTCTGTGAGACTAGGACTGCCAGTTCTGAAAGGAGCAATGGATCATGGAGTCTTTGTGGTCCTCCACTACGTAGATTGTCTTCTGAGACAGTGACAAGAAAGGACTTAAGATGTCTTTGTAGCCAGCTGTTGTGTGGACGCCATGATTCCCTGGCCATCTCAGCCTGACAAATGCTCGGTGTCTGGAGGAAAGGATCTCATCTCTCGCTCTAAATCTGGTTTGGTCTGGTCAATTTGCGCTTACAGACAATTCTTAGACCCTCAAATCTTCCAGTTCCTTGTAGTAGACCCCCTTGGTTGAGTACCTAGAAGCCAGCATCTAGGTGTCACACTGTTTTGAATAGACCTCATCCTCCCTAGTTTTCTGAGCTTGAACTCAGCAGGAAGAAATCCTGAAAGGATAGTTGCAGATTGCTCCAGAAGAGATTCCCAGGGGTTGGTCCAGTCAGATCCTAGCCTTACTAGGTAGACCAAGAGACTGTCTGTCCTCTCTCAAGAAGCAGCGAGGATCTGGCCAGGAACTTGTCTCACAAGCTACCATTCCTCAGGACTCACCCCGAGTTGCATAATAATGTGGTTGCATTTTTCCCCTCAGCCATCCAACTCAGGGAGCAAATGCCAATTTGCAACTTCGCTGATAAGATGTTTACTTCAGCCTAAACAAGCTGGGGCGCATGGCATGCCCAGTAACCTGAGCTCAGAAACCCGCCAACCGGTTTGTAGGACTAAGGAAACATCCGTTGCCTGCAGGATGCAAAGACAGGTCCCATTCACAAATGGAATACACCTGGAACCCCCCCCCCACATGACCTTCCTCGATGACTGTCCCCGCCATAGCCTTTCCTGTCCTGCTCCCACTGTTAAGACCACAGGAGAACAGAGAAAGGGGGCTGAGGGGCGGGACGGGGGAGGGGGGGTTGAGACTCCAGGGAGGTAAAAGGGCAAAGCATGCCAGCAACTGCTCAGCTGGCCACACCATGGGCTCAAGGCATGCCAGCTTGTCAACCTTTGTCTCTGCCTCTGAAAAATAATCCATGAGGTCCCCGAGGCAGGACAATAAGCTCCCAGCTGGCCTCCCCTCAAAGTCTCCAAATGCAGCAAGAAAGCAGTTGGCAGCTCAAGGATAGGCCCGAGGCCAGCTAATGACATAGGCCAGCAGGCCCTTCGGTCTGCCTGGGTGGAGCTGAGAGCAGGTGGGAGCCTCAGCATGTGGGGCTCATTAGGCCCTCTGGCTTCTCTCAAGCCCTGTATAGGAGGGAATAATTCTGGAGGAGGGTGCAGGAACTGTCCAGGCAGAAGGCAGAAATCTGAACTCTAGGGACCTCTAACGGGGAGTGTGGACCTCAGACACATACCTGGGCTGGTAGCTGGACTTTAAGGGTAGTGTGATCCACAAGGACTTTTTGAACTGGACTGACTCATCCATAAGCAGAACGGCAATGCCTGGCCTGTAGTTACTGTGAGACGCTAACGAGGTAGTGTGTCAACTGTGGCCAAAGACTACTACAGAGTAGCTGCTGCTGAGGGTAACTATTGGAGCAAAGTCTTCAGAGTTAGCGGTTCCCATGCTAAAAAGTAGAAATCATCCCCATGAACACAGGAGAATGCTCGGACAGATCCTAAGAGGGAAATTCCACTGACTGTGAATCTTCAGACTGTTGCTTCTGGAGGGAAGCCAGGGAAGATGGGGGTGTTTGGCCAGGAGCCACCTGGTGTGCTGGGCAGTCAGAATAAGCCATCCAACCCAAGAGAACTTTTTATTTACGGTCCCAGTGCAACACCCATGCTCCGTGTACAGCTGCTGATGTGCTCGAATCGTTGCTGGTGCAACGGTAGAACAGACTGCGTTGGATTTTAATTAATTACCAGGAAGCAGGTGACCCCATGAGCTGGTCTGGATGTGAAATGCTTAAGTTTTATGATCAAACAGGTCAGATGATAGTTCGTTAGCTTTGTGATCTTGGGCTAGCCACTGAGCCTTGTACTTCTTCTCTGGGGAAATGACACCGCGCCCTCAAATGTTTGCCTAATGCTCACGAGATGCTGCATGTCTAAGACTCAGCCCAGGGTCTGAGGTGTGAGATAAGCGGCTCCTAATAGGAGGCGGTAGCATTGGGTCGTCAAGGACCGGAGCGTGATTAGTGTTCTCCCACTGTTCCCCCACCCTGGCAGAACCACATCCTCACAGTGATGGCAATGGCAGCCCGAATCTACAAGCACCCAAGCATCAGAAACTCCATCAACCTCGTGGTGGTAAAAGTGCTGATAGTGGAAGAGGAAGGCTGGGGCCCCGAGGTGTCGGACAACGGTGGGCTCACCTTGCGCAACTTCTGCAGCTGGCAGCGGCGCTTCAACAAGCCCAGCGACCGCCACCCGGAGCATTATGACACTGCCATTCTGTTCACCAGACAGGTGTGTGGGCTGAAACCCCGGGGGGAGATGGGATGGGCAGATCAGAGAGAGAGAGCTTCGAGGCCTGCCCAAATGTGGGAACTGTCTCCTTGCTGGCCCCAGCTGGACGTCGGAGGCCTCTTGCTGGAATGATGAGAAGGAGGTCATGAGGACAAGTGGGAGGCCACTGCAAGGGGAGAAGAACCTCAGAAGGGCTCTTTTCCAAAAGTTTGTGACCAGCTGTCTGCTGAGGTCATACCAAAAGGAAACAGACTCAGGCTGCCCTGGGAGAGGTCTGGACATGGAAATGGGAAAGGGGTTCCGTCTCCAGTCTGGTTAGGCACAGAGATGATAACCTTGGGATCCCCGGGGTTTTCATATAGGATGGCTGTGGTGACTGAATTAAACCGCTTTCCTGAAGGCCGTTGGGCACAGCCGTGTATACCAGGCCCTGCCTACTGCATTAGTCCTCACATGAGTCACAAGTGCAAGTGAGGTGGTGGCTTGCCCATTTTGCAGCTGAGGTAACTGAGGCACCAAGAGACCATACAGCAGAAGTGCCCACAGTTAAACCCAGGCAGTCTTACAGAAGGGGCAAGACTCCAAGCGATCATGAAGCTCTGCCTCCCAAAGCAAACCTTTGAAATCCCAGCCAAGCCAATTGTCACTCGGTGCCCCCCTCCTCCTCCTCCTGCTGCTGCTGCCGGTGTGTGTGTGTGTGTGTGTGTGTGTGTGTGTGTGTGTGTGTAGTGCTGGTGTTGATGTTGGTATTGTTTTAGCAATGATGTGTTTCTTGGGCCCATCTTCAACTTAGAAAAACAAGGATAGGTGAACTAGCTGTCACAACCAAGACAGAAAAATCAAGAATGCAAGATACCTAGGTGGGATGTCTAGATGTCTAGAAGCTGGGCTCTACTGATTATCCCATTCTTTTTAAAAAGCTTCAGATGGTGCAGTAATGTGTATACCATCAGGTAGTGTTTCTCAGAAGGCTGAGTGAGACACTAGGCACGCACTTCTGTCCTCCATGCCTGTCTCTACAACCTAACCTGCTCTCTTCACCAAACAGAACTTCTGTGGGAAGGGTGAGCAATGTGATACCCTGGGGATGGCAGACGTCGGCACCATCTGTGACCCCAACAAGAGCTGCTCCGTGATCAAGGACGAGGGACTGCAGGCAGCCTACACTCTGGCCCATGAGCTAGGTAAGACTTGTCACACCAGAGCTTCCCTCACACGTCAGAAGAAACTGCCTCTTTCACGTCCCCAACTGCCCGGATTCTGAGAAGAAAGCAAGCTCACAGGTAGCCATTGACAACATGGTTCTATGTAGACAGACATTGTACTTGATATCGGTGACTCCACTCCTACTCTGAGCATAAGACCAAAATGCGAAATTGGTGTCCTGGACCATCAGCACCATTACCCAGAGAATGCCAACACGTGGAAGAAGTGTTAGGTTACCATGATGATGTAAGTAAGCTAAGTAGGTAGGCTTCGTGGGGAGACGGGTTATGTAGAGAGAGCCATGTTAGACGACCAACAGTAGAAATGAACAAGAGATCCAGAGAAATCGCCCAAAAAATAAAGGGATCTCAAGACCTGAGAGAAAGACCCAAAACAAAACTGTTCAGGGAATCTGTGTGGCCATACCAGTGGGGACATGGTGACAGGAAAGGACCCTCAGCACTGCTGGCCACATAGGGAACATACGGGCAGGACAGGGCACCTGGAGGTGTGGGCGGCTGGAATGGACCACAGTTCTCTTCTCCCCTCACCCCCATCCAGGGCACGTTCTCAGCATGCCCCACGACGATTCAAAGCCCTGTGTGAGACTGTTTGGGCCCATGGGCAAGTACCACATGATGGCGCCATTCTTCATCCACGTGAACAAGACGCTACCCTGGTCTCCCTGCAGTGCTGTATACCTCACGGAGCTCCTGGATGACGGTCACGGTAGGCCCCACTCGGCTCCCCCTGGCTTCTCCCCACCCATCAGCTGTAGAGCCTCTTTCGTGACTGCTGGCACCTGCTCTGCCCTGGGGACTCCCTGCAGCTGTGCTTTCTCACAAAGCCCATAGGGTGGGGAGAGACTTCAGAGGCATGTCATTCTAGAAAGGCATGCTAAGCATCCTCTCGGAATGCTCTTCCTTACCCCCATCTTCCCATAGTCCGAGCTCTGGGCTAGTAGATTTATTCATTCCAATGCAGAAGGAATTAGTCTGAGAAGGTTGGCTGGAAGCGGTGAGTCTGAGCAGAATGTAGAGGAATGGAAGACTGTAGTTTGAAAGAGCAGGGAAGAGAATGTTCCAGGCTGGAGTGGTAGACTGAGGATGGCAGCTGAGGAATGGCAGAAAGACTGTGGGCAGGTCACACGCGAGCAAGGATCTAGGGCAGGAGTGCGGGTTCAGGAAGTTGGGATTGTGGAGCAAAACAGTGAAGCAAGTGTTCTAGATTCTTCTGAAGGAGGCAGGGATATAGCTGACTTAAAAGCAGTAGATTGTACAGATGTCAATAGTCAGGCTTTATTTGCATGTCAGGGTTCTTAAGTGGAATGTGCTTTAATAGAGCAAGTGGCTGGCCATCACTAGATGCATGAGCATCATTGGGAAAGTGTCTTACATGTTCGGGACAGTAAAAGAAAACTCATCCTACAGAAACCTTTGCTACAGCTACCCAGAATTAAATGAGCTCTGTGTACGTGGTTGGATGTTGGTGAAGTTTAGATCAAGGTTGAAGAACCCGGGATGCCTAGACACTAAAGAATGATGATTCAGAATTGGAGCTTCGTGCAGGAGACCAGGAGCAGCTGAGGGCAAGGCCCTGCCCTTGTTCTGACTTATTTCTCTCCTCCTGCTCTCAGGAGATTGTCTCCTCGATGCCCCCACCTCGGTCCTGCCCCTCCCCACAGGCCTCCCAGGCCACAGCACCCTCTATGAGCTGGACCAACAGTGCAAGCAGATCTTTGGGCCCAACTTCCGCCACTGCCCCAACACCTCTGTGGAGGACATCTGTGTGCAGCTCTGGTGCCGCCATCGGGATAGTGATGAGCCCGTGTGCCACACAAAGAACGGCAGCCTGCTCTGGGCGGATGGAACACCCTGTGGCCCTGAGCACCTGTGTCTGCATGGCAGCTGCGTGCTCAAGGAGGAAGTGGAGAACCCCAAGGTGAGGAAAAGTGGAGAGCAGTTAAAGGGTGGGGAGGAAAGGCTGGAGGGGGAGGCTAAGGCACCATATTTGGGAGTCAAGCTAAGACCCTTCAGGCCAAGCTGCCAATGTCTGTCATCAGGAAACCACTCATCTTTTAACAAAACAAACTCTAATTACCCCCACTGGTGAGGAGCTTGGAGGCTTGCTCTGGGTCAATGGTCTGTGGCCAGGCTGTCTGAGTTTAGCGTCTCCTCTTGGGGGCTGTTTTAGAGCTAATTTGAGAGCCTATGAAGACTGGTGAAGGTGTGAAGACCAGAAGGTAGGCACTAAGCAAAGGGAGCCTGGAGGAATCCGCTATAAATAGAGTGACATGGGATAGGAACATTCCATCAAGGTCTGGGTATTCGTAGCCTACCGTGTTTAAGCTGAGTCCCTTAGCAGAAATCAGAGAATAAGTGTAATAGTAAGAATGTCATACTCCCAAAGGAGAAGAGAAGGGATCCGAGTGGCCTGTGTCCAGAAAAGAGAAAACTTGGCCCAGGACAGAGGAAACTTGCATGAAAAACCAAGGCAATGCCAGTGAGGGTTTTAAGTGGTTCACTTCTTCGCCCTGCTCTTAATACATCCGAACAGCAAGGCTGATCACATTTCTCCTACTGCAAGTCATGGAGCCTTCATGATGAAATACCATCCGATGAGTTTCATAGCCTGGGCCCTGCCCAGCACTGAATCGCCACAGTGGCCCAAACACATTCCAAGGGCTGTCCTTCGTGGCATGCTCTTGTGCTGAGTTTGGGAGCCTTCCTGGGCTGTGGAAGCCACACACTCTGATCCAAAGCCTGTGCAGGATTCCAGCTCGCTCAGCCAGTTCCTGTTCTCCCCATTCATTCTCTTCTCATGGTGTCGAAAGAAGAGGAGGAGGGTCCAACCACCCATCTCCGTGGCAGGGTGACATTAAACAGCCACAGGATCCTCTGCCCTTAAAGTGAAAAGGCAGGATTGGAAACTAGCTTTTGTATGCGGTGTCATGCCTGTCAAATGAAGGCACCGCGGCTATAGGATTTTATATTCAGAGCAGGAGAAGGGGAGGATGCTGTGAAAATCATGGGAGTGGCTTCGTTCGGGGCAGTGGTGCCCTTTGAAAGTTGCTTTCTTTTTCTTTCTTCCTTTGTTTATTTCTTAAGTCTTCTGCTTTCATTTTTATATGAACAAAGCGTTGATTTAGTGATAGAATGAAAATTAATTTAGAACTCTCTATGGAGCTATCAAAGAAAAGGCTTTGTTCTTGTAAGTCAGTTGTAAACTTGGACGTGATTCTGTTTATTGCCCAGCACTGACCTATCCCTGGAACCAGCAGCTGATAGAATCATGGCAAGACCTCTCACTGGCCATGTCTTCAGACCAAGGGTTCTCAGCCTTGCTGCTTGTGACATCTGGAGCTGGAAAGGCTTTGGGGGGGGACTGTGCACTGCTGGTTATTTAGAAGAATCTTTGTCTTAATCCACTAGGTGCTAGTGGCATATTATCCTCCCTTGGTGAGGCAACCGCACTGACTCCTTGCTCCTCCCATAACGAACAGCATAGGGCCCAATGGATACCTACTGCACCAGACCCAAATTTATCCATAAAAGACTCTCCCTCATACTCATTCAGCAGCTATGGTGTTGAGCACTTGAGGTGCTGTTTTATATGAGAAGTCACAGCAAACACACCCACCACAGTCTCTGTTCTTCCTAAGCCACACCCAAGAAAGCTACACTATTATTAAACAAGCAGTTGAAATCATTTACAGAACTCCGTACGTTCAGATGAGAATAAGTAAATGAGGAAGTTGGGTCCGCAGTCAACAAGTGGCATAGACCCTGAAGTCTGCTCCCCTTTGGTCCTGATTCGGTGGCATTGTGTGTTGCAGGCCGTGGTAGACGGAGACTGGGGTCCATGGGGACCCTGGGGAGAATGTTCTCGCACCTGTGGAGGAGGAATACAGTTTTCCAACCGTGAGTGCGACAATCCGGTGCCTCAGAACGGAGGAAGGTTTTGCCTGGGTGAGAGAGTCAAGTACCAGTCCTGCAACACAGAGGAGTGTCCACCAAATGGTAATTACCTGCCAGAATAGCCCATGGTGTAAGTGCAACAGATTTCAAGAGGAGGAACAGGGGAGTCTTCCCAGGAGTAGAGTTGAGTCCTGATCCAAATTTACACAGATTATGCAAGATGCCAAGCTTGGGAACAGTCTTCAAGCACCCAGGGCAGCTCCTCCTTTAGGAAGAGGCTGGTAGTAACAAAGAAGGGAGATTACTCCTATCCTGATCTCTGAGCTGTAGAGAGACAAAGCGTGCCACTCCCGACCAAATCTGCCCAGAAGTGACCTTTCGAGAGGGTCGTGCAGAGGATAATCATCATCTTAGAAGCATCTGAATCCTTTTCTATGCGCAGATGGAAGACGTTTCCAAAGCAAGTGTCAGAGTCAAACCTCCCAGGTCTCTCTGGTCAGCAATCAACTCAGGCAGGAGAGAACATCTCTGAGTGTGATCCCTGGGCACGTTCCTTCTGCAAAGAGCTGCCCATCTTCCTGTGGGGCCATGGTGACTGCCTGCCAGAGCCTTCCCAGGAAAGAGCACCACCTCTGTGCCCCCCTGCTGAGGCCTATCCCCTAGGTCATGCTAGAAGGCACACACGTGAACTCGGATGTGGAAAAGTGCAGTCACCAACTTAGGAAAGGGAATCAGGAATTTTTTTGCCCCCATCCCTTCCAGCACCAGTTTGGGCAACTCCAGGAAGTTTTAGCAGTGTGAAAAGACAAGGGGAACTTTAGGAGAACATCTCCTAAGTGCCAAGATGCTCTGGCATTGGGCTGGGTGTCTAGTAGGGAAACCTGTAGGCTCTGGAGTTTGGCTAAGCTGGGGGGGGTGGATCAGCAATGGCATGAGGCTTTCAACATTTCTCTCTGGTGTTGAGAGTCTGCAGAGTAGGCATGGAGGGCAGGTGACAGTATGATTTCACATGCCCTGAGATCAGCCAGTGCCTCTATGTGTCCATAGCTATAACAGATACAGAAGCTAGAAATAGACAAGGCATGGTCTCTGTTCTCAAGGACTTTGCAATGTGATTAGTGGTAAGTTCTTTTACATAGTAATTATGGCTTCGTCTTTGAGGCAGCAACCCTGGGCTTATGAGGAATTCAGGGAAAGGAGCTCAAAGACTTTAGGTCAAGGAAGCCCCAGAGGATGATATACTGGTGAGACAGGAGGGAGGTACCAGGATAAGGCAGGTATGAGATGTACTATCATTTGCTCAAGTGGAGCCAAGCAAGAGGGAGCAGCACAATGAAGCCAGACCACAAAGGTCCTTAGAGCCTGAAACAGCATCTGCGAGTTGCCCATGGCAGCTGCCCTATCACTTTGAAGCTTTTGCAGATACAGCCAGGACCCCTTCAGCAGTGTGGACTCTCAAACTCAGCACTGTACATCTATCTGTGTTTAGAAGTCTCCATGGGCCATTTGGATGCACAGCCAGGGTGGAGAGGCGTGGAGGAAGAGCAGGCTTATTTCAGGATTGTGCAAGGGAATCACTCACATCGGATGGGTAGATTTGTCTGAAGGCAGTGCACATACACCTTCTTGTATAAGCACTGGGGAGGCTCACTGGAGCCTAAGCACTGGGGCCCCAGAGGGTGGCATGAGGCCTGGGCCTGGGATTATGAAAGTCATATGCACGTATTTGAAATCACCAATTTCCTGAATTTGGCAGAGGATGTCATGGTACATTAGAAACAGCACCGAGAGATGCTTGAGTGTTCAAGATGCCGGGGTGCCAGTCTCATTCTGGAACATAACAAATGCCAGATCAAACCAGTTATCAGAAGAATAAGATAATGCTGTTGGGGGTGGGTAATTATAGTACCTGTAGATGGAGCTCTCCCATAGATATTCAGAATCACAGAAAATGAGATGTAGAGGCAAGACCAGAAACGTCAGTGAGTCTTTGCCACCCGTCCGTCATTACTGGGGAAATCAACACAAAGCATAGTTAGCAAAGTCCTGAAAATATAGCTCTGTAGCAGTCACACGTGCCAAGATGGAAAGGGTGCTTGTACCAGAAAGCCCAGGGTGAGGCTGGACGGCCCCTCCCCTTGGATCTTTAAGGGAGGGTCCCTCAAAGCACCCCGGTGTGTCTAGAAATAATGGGCCATGTCTGTGTCCAAAGCCCAGAGAAGGAAAGGGGCCGTGCATCCAGAGCTTTCTCTACCAGAGCCCTTCGGCAGCTGTATTACTCCCATGCCATTCCTTGCTCTTCTCAGGCAAAAGCTTCAGGGAGCAGCAGTGCGAGAAATACAACGCCTACAACCACACTGATCTGGATGGGAATTTCCTGCAGTGGGTCCCCAAATATTCAGGAGTGTCCCCCCGGGACCGATGCAAGCTGTTTTGCAGAGCCCGGGGGAGGAGTGAGTTCAAAGTGTTTGAAGCCAAGGTAAGAATCTCCTGGAATTCAGACGGAGATGGGGACGCAGGCACATTTTGTCACCCCCGCCTGCAGACTGCTTCTGTGGGCAACGTGTCCCATCTTTCCTTTCCCAGGTGATCGACGGCACTCTGTGTGGGCCGGATACTCTGTCCATCTGTGTCCGGGGGCAATGTGTTAAGGCTGGCTGTGACCATGTGGTGAACTCACCTAAGAAGCTGGACAAATGTGGGGTGTGTGGAGGCAAAGGCACTACCTGTAGGAAGGTCTCCGGTTCTTTCACCCCCTACAGGTGGGTCTCCTAAGTGGCTGTACCTAGGCAGAGGAACATAAGGGGCTTTGGGCACTGCTGGCCTCACCTCAAATGGAAATTACAGTTGCTAGTTAATAGATGTGTAGATGGGAGGTGGGGGGATCATATAAGTGCTTCAAGACCCTGGTTCTCTGCAGAATGTCATTAGCCATCTCTCCTCACAGTCATGGTCAGGAACTCCTGAGGCAGGAGGTGTAGAACACGTGGTATAGGATCTGACCACGGAGAGGATGGTACTGGGGCAGTCGTTGTTTTATTAGTGCTGGAGACCACCCAGTCAGGAATGTGTCCGCTCTGAGTTGGAGGAGAGCAGCACTGAGTAACACAGGACTCAGACACAAAAGACTCCTCCAGGCTGGCTATGGAAATGACGTCTAATCTTAAAACCGGTGAGCCCTGTCCTTCTGTGATGAGCTCGTCCTCGGAGAAGAGAGAGCAAACCAGTGCCTCAGTAGCCTCGGGAATCTAAGGACTCAGAGCTTCTCACATCCAAGCACCCCACATGCCTTAGAGCTCCTGGGGTGTCCCAAAGTGCCTTCATTCTACTGGGCAAGGCCAGTACTGTTATTCCCTACCTTAGGGTCGGGGAACTTACACGTGAAAAGATCGATTGACTTTTCTAAGGTCACATTGAGAGCTAGTGATAAACAGAAAGAAAACTTGGAGTTCTTTCCTCCCTTCCACTGTACAAAGATTAAACCTAGAGCATCTCTGTGTATTCATGCGACTTTCCAGCATTCAAGTTTCCAGTTCAGCCCCAGTACCTCGGAGGTTTTGCCACTTTGCTAACTAGTTTTCTACCTAGTGAAGTTTGCTCTGTCTTTCTCTGTGCTTCTCCCTCTTTCTTTCCCTTCCCTTCTCCTTCCCCCTCTCCCTCCCTCCTCTTCCACCTTCTTTCCATGCACATATTTTATAGTAGTGCCTAGCTCAAAAAAATAGAACCACTTCGTTGCAGCCAACTTGGAAGTATTTTCAAACTTAAGCTCAAAAATAAGTAGAGGAAAAAAAGCATGAGCTCTTCAGTTCCTGGGTCCATTTGGGCCCTTCCTCCTAGGTCTTAGACATATGGCCTTGGATACTCCCTAGCCTTAGACTGACCCCAGCTGGATATAGAGAAAGAACAGCAAGAAATCCACTTGATGGCCCTCCTCAATAGCTTATCTCAACCCTGTGTAGCCCAAATTCCCAGAGGAGGACAAGGGACAAAGTTCTGACATTCTACATAAACTACAATGAACTGGAAGCATTTTCCCCAATAAAGATGGTGCTCATGTTGTCTGGACACACTCAAGAGATGACTCCAAAGAAGCAAGCTTTATCCCACATCCTTCCCAAGTCCATAGTAACCAAATAATGTATAATGGTTGGCTCAAAGAGGCACTTAATCCTCTGCCCTGGTTGGGTTCTGGCATGAGTGAGGGGAACATATTTTTCCACAGGAGTTTGAGCTTTGGGTCTGGAGGTAGCCATGTCTACCTTTTTTTTTTTTTTTTTTTTTTTTTTTTTGAGAGAGGGTTTCTCTGTGTAGCCTTGGCTATCCTGGAGTTCACCCTGTAGACCAGGCTGGCCTTGAATTCACAGAGATCAGCCTGCCTCTGCTTCCTGAGTGCTGCGATTAAAGGCGTGCGCCACCACTGCCCAGATCCATGCCTACTTTTACCACTGCAATGTAGCAAATGTATTTGAATTCTCACCTGAACCAAGGAGAGGTCAGGTTGCCGGCACTTTTCTCCTAGACTCTCCTGTGTTGCGGTCAGGATCTACACATCGAACTGCCTCAATATCCATGGTAGATTTGCCAAATGGAGCAAAAACCCATGGAAAGCCCAATGCCCAAGACGATTCTGTCTGCGTTGGCAACTAATCTGTTTAGAACTTTGAGGCAATCACTTTAGCATTTGCTAGTTGTTCTGTCTGTTCACTCCCAGCCAGCTAGGGGAACCCATTTTAATTTCCAGGCTAGGAGGCCACCAGCCCTAACGGTGTTTCCGTCTCTATCATAGTTATGGCTACAATGACATTGTCACCATCCCAGCTGGCGCCACAAACATTGATGTGAAACAACGGAGTCACCCCGGGGTCCGGAATGACGGCAGCTACCTGGCACTGAAGACAGCCAACGGGCAGTACTTGCTCAATGGCAACCTGGCCATCTCTGCCATAGAGCAGGACATCTTGATGAAGGGGACCATCCTAAAGTACAGTGGTTCCATGGCTACCCTGGAGAGACTGCAGAGCTTCCAGGCCCTGCCAGAGCCACTCACCGTACAACTCCTGACGGTGTCTGGCGAGGTCTTTCACCCCAAAGTGAAATACACCTTCTTTGTTCCCAATGACATGGACTTCAGCGCACAGAATAGCAAAGAGAGAGCAACTACCAACATCATCCAGTCGCTGCCCCATGCGGAGTGGGTGCTCGGGGACTGGTCTGAATGTCCCAGCACTTGTGGAGGTGGCTGGCATCGGCGGACTGTGGAATGCAGGGACCCCTCAGGTCAGGCCTCTGACACCTGCGATGAGGCTCTGAAACCTGAAGATGCTAAGCCCTGTGGAAGCCAGCCATGTCCCTTATGATCCCCTTGGTGGAAATGTTGCAGGCTCCTGGACTTGGGCTACGGGGGTGTATAGACAAGGGTCCCCTCTGAGGTGATACGACATATCAAGATGGCTTGGCCCTTCCCGGCCTCCTGTTACTACAGCTCTTTGGGTACTGCCTAATTCATAAGGGAGAGGAGAAGAGGGTACGAAGGTAACAGATCCTAAAGTTGACTGTCCGGTGGACTGGAACTTGCTTAGGTTCAAGTAGAGGGTATAAGTTAAAAGGTAAAAGTGCACTTACTGATTCAAATGGGAGACTTCAGAGCCAGCCTTTTTGCAAAGGACTAGCAACGTTAAATGAAAAAAAGAAGAATTTGTTTTCTATTTGGTTTCCTCAATAATCAATCTACCTCACCGTGGGGGGGAAATCAGTACGTGAGAGGTATGAGGGCAGACGTTGTAAATATCAAAGCAAGCTCTGTGGTTTTCTCCCAGTTGTCTTCAGAAATGACCATGAATATCTTTCGTGTGTCCCAGCACTCGGGAGGCAGAGGCAGGCGGATCTCTCTGAGTTCGAGGCCAGCCTGGTCTACAAGAGCTAGTTCCAGGACAGGCACCAAAAACTTCAGAGAAACCCTGTCTCAAAAATCCAAAAAAAAAAAAAAAAAATCCAATGTCTAAAGGGGGGTGGTGTCCATCACAGGGTTATGGAGAGCCAATTGTCCTCAGGCTGCCGCCTGCTGGGGCGGACCCATTTCAACTATTTATGCAAATATGTCTCTGAACTAAAGCGTGATCTTATGCCAATGAAATTGTCTAGTCCAGTTTATTACTTCTTTGGGAAGGGCAGAGACCCGGCATCCCAAAGGAAAGGCTAAAACAAGCTTTCCTGGAACACACATGGGGCAACTATCATCTTCCCTGGGTATCTTCGACTCTCAGTAAGAAGGCAACCGCCTCGGGTTCTCACAAGCTTACTATACCCATCTCATGCAGGCAACTGTTCATCTGTGTGAGCTACACCAGTGGTTCTCAAACCAGTGCCTTCAGAGGGTTCAATCCAGCATGATGGTGTCTGTGCTTCCTCAACCACCCTGGGAATATGAAGGCTGCTGCTTTAGAGACCGCATTTCAAGAACCCTGCGTTAGAGAAAATTCCAACCTTTAAGTTATGGTAGTTTTCAGTCCGTCTGGGATCCCTATTTTTTTTCATTGCTGTTCATTTTTATTTTTGTTGTTGTTGTTGTTGTTTGTTTGTTTTTGAGAGAGGTCTCATGTAGCCCAGACTGGCCTCAAACTCTCATTGTAGTCAAGGGAGGTCTTGAACTTCTGACCCTCCTGTCTCTACCTTCCCAGGGCTGAAATTGCAGGGATGCACCTCCGTGCCTGTTTTCTACTTGTTTTTATTTATTTTGAGGTAGGAGCTTGATATTCTTGAGAAAGCGTATCATTCAGCAAGCTGACCATCAACCCTCTTATATGCTGACCTGCTCAATTAAGGTAAACACACACACACAAGAGCCTTCTGCCTAGGGACCATCACTCCAGTGACATCCGCACCTGCTCAACACCTGACCCCCACCACATCTCATCCATATCTCACAACTTCTTTAGTCCAACTTCCCAATGAGAACTTATTAACCTGGAATAACAGTGCCAATCTGCTACCCACTGGAAACCCCGAGAGCCTCTAAAATCCTGTCTTCAGAGCTCATTTTTCTCAAGGCTCAGAAAAGCTCCCTGGATCAATCTTCCACATGCGGAACTCAGTCCTTGGTCACAAACAGATGAGAAGAAATGGACATTTAAGGGGGCTGGAGAGATGGCTCAGCGGTTAAGAGCATTGACTGCTCTTCCCAAGGTCCTGAGTTCAATTCCCAGCAACCACATGGTGGCTCACAACCGTCTGTAATGAGGTCTGGTGCCCACTTCTGGCCTTCAGGCAAACAGACAGAATATTGTATACATAATAAATAAATAAAATTAAAAAAAAAAGAAATGGACATTTAAGAAAAAGGCGGCGTCCTAGGAGCCGAAGAGATGGTTCAGTGGATAAAGTACTTGATGTACAGGTGTGGAGCCAGATCTCCTGTGCCCATGGAACAAACCGAGTGGCATTGGCAGCCTGCCTGTAATTCTGAAGCTAGGGAGGCAGTGACAGGAACGACAAGCAAACGGAGTAGAGTTTACAGTAACTAGAGGAGCTAGATTGTTGTAGATTAGTAGTAGATTGGCTGGAATAAACCAATCATCAGGCTCCAGGTTCAGCAAGACACCTCAATAAGGAAAGTGGAAGGTAATCAAGAAAGACAGCTGATATCAACCTCTGACCTCCACATGCAACCACACACACACACACACCACAGAGACATAAACATGCAAAAAGATAAAAGAAAGAAATGACATTATAGCAATAGACGGGAAATACCTCCATTTACATTGTCCTGTTTTACATTACCCTTTTTTCCTGCTTCCAAGTTTCTCTCAAGACATGGGACATGGGCAGACTTGCTGCTAAACTGACCCCTGGGGCATATGCCTTTAATCCCGGCACTTTGGGAGGCAGAGGCTGGTGTATCTCTGTGAGTTCGAAGCCAGCCCAGGCTACAGAGCTAGTTCCAAGACAGCCAGGGCTACACAGAGAAACCCTGTCTTAAGAAAACAAAAGACAAAAACAGAAAAAAAAAGGACTTCGACCTTTGGGGCACAAGGTAAGGCCAGTAGGATTGCAGCTACTACTGTCCCCTTAACTGGTCCCCAGACGGTGGCAGTTGACATCTGCTTTTTCCTGTCTGTCTAGTTTTTAGGTGAGTAGGAGGCTGAGCTTACCTAAATATAAACATGCGGGCACACACAGGCATGTGGTTGATGAGCGATAAACACGGTTTCCCCCCTGCGTCCGTCCCTCNCCCCCCCCGCGCCCCCCCCCCCCCCCCCCCCCCCCCCCGCTTTGGTGCGCCCCAGTCTGCTGAGCCTGATGTGTGTTTCTGCAAGTCTTCATGTCCTTCCGCTTCTCATCCTCCCCCGGATAATCAAAGACAAGTGTGTCGCCCTCACTAACTCCCCTGTCAGGCAGCTGTGCCATCCCGGCTGCACGCATCATTACCAGACACAGCTCTTTGCCCTGGAGTTCAGCTGGCAGCGGAGCTGCCGATGTGCAAAGCAGAATGGAATCCGGCTTGGCTCTCCCTTGACGTGTGGGCTCAGCAAGGCTCACAGAATACATACTTGTTTGTGTCTGGAAATTCAACAGCTGCGGCTCGGTACTCAGCAAACAGAGCTACAGACGGAGACCGCACCATGATCAGCCCTGGCCAGTCACGGCCACCCTTTAGCTCACAGGAGGAGAGGCTGTATTTCCTCTGCTGAGAGTTTGTCTTCTCTAGCCATCGTTCCATTTTCTAGCCAGTGCTTGAAGGAGGCCCAACGGCCCTAACTCGGCAGGTAATTCAGCCATTAATCTGGATATGCCAAAGGTAATGCATTAGCATCAAGTGCCCCCCGACTCCTGCCCAACTTCTCATCCTTAAAATAAGTAAACCCAAAATTAGGCACAGTAGCACACCTATGCAATTCCAACACTCAGGAAGCTGGGGCTTGAGATTAAGTTCAATGCCAATCTAGGCTACTGAATCAGAGCCTGTCTCAAAAGTAAAAGATAAATGAATCCTTGCCTGGGCTTTCTTCTCTGCCCTTCATTCCCGAGTAGCCAACCAGAGACTGCAAACTGAGGAGTATGCCCCTGCCAGCAATCCGCGAGTGTCATCATCCAACCCGAGTCTCATCATCAGTCAGATCGCTGGCCACCTCAAGGTCATTCAAATGAGAGAAGTAGGGAACAGCTATCCTGTGATTGAGGCAGATCAGCTGGGACTTACTCTCCTTTGGTGGCCTATGGCAGGAGGACAACATGTCTTCATGAGGAAATCTCTTTTCCATGAAGCATAAAAGAGAAAGTCACCCATGGAAGCTGTCAGTTTTTTTGCTGGCTCATTGTGGGAATCATTAAAAGAATAAATACTATGGTCTTATCTGCTTTAGCATAGGAAAATAATGCAGTGGTCTGGAAGTGTAATCTGTGGCTGAATGTATGTCTAGCATGACTGAAATCCTGGGTTTTGATCCCCAACACAGGAAAAGAAAGGGGGGGTGACGATATAGGCTGGGTAAGACAGAAATATAATATTCTTTTTTATCTTTGGTTTTTTTCAAGATAAGGTTTCTCTGCAGCTTTGGGGCCTGTCCTCAAACTCACTTTATAGAACTGACTGGCCTCCAACTCAGGGAGATCCACCTGTCTCTGCCTTCCGAGTGCTGAGATTAAAGGCATACGTCACCACCACCTGACTGAGATATAATATTCTAAACATACCAGCTAACACACCAAAGGAACTAAGTTGGATTTTTGCGTAAGCTGTGAGTGAGCTGCTTCCTTGGTGGGACTAGAACGCCTCCTTGGCACCTGTCAGTTTTCTAGACCAACAAAAACTGTAATGGCCTTGTCAGACTTAGCAAGATAGGTGTGCCCCATTATAACCTGCGACACGTTTCCCTGGTTTGCTCTTCAAATGGGAAGATTCTCTGACAGTCCATTAAAGAAGTAGCCATCCTTCCTTAACATTGCCTTCCAACCCAGAAACCCCATAGAAGAGAGAAAGGGGTTCCTATCAGAAAACTATTGGGAAGAGAAAAACACACCAATATGGAAAGCACAGTCTGAAACTGCAAGCCAAGGAAGAGAGGGAGAAAGACACCTGTCCTGTTTGGAACATTTTCCTCCCAGGCGTGGGCTCCGTGAGGAGAGATCCAAACATCCCAGAAGATGATGTCCAATTGCCCCAGCAAAGGAGAAACTAAAGAAGCCTTCCCCAGACCTCACCGTTCCTCATTCCAAACATCTTTTAAGTCTCAGGAGCACTGACAGAGTTGTCCTCAGCCAAACACAACTTCCTGTTTCTAAGAAAGGGAAGGGAAAGAAATAGTTGACAGGGTATTTGGACACTAGAGATTTTGAGTTTCTGTAAACGCAAGTGAATCAGACACATGTGGAATGCATTTCCCCAGAAATAAGAAAAGATGCTGTGAGTTCCTCTTGCTGGACCAGAGAAAGGAGAAAGGGGAGTTGGGAAGGGAGGTGCATCAGATGCTGCAGGGAGCAAGAAGAGCCATGTGAGTGTCAGATCAAAGAGGTGGTCCCAGTGATGACAAGGGCCAGGAGTGCTCCTCCCAAGACCACTTCCTGACTTATGGATTACTCAGAGCTTCTCCACCTCTGAAGTCATGAATCCAAATATCCTGCTCCCTGACCACAACTGGCCATGTTTCCAGATCTTTCTCTAGTCCCACTAAACATCCTGCATCCTTCATCCTTGGGGTTCCCATGTCCTTGACCACTCCCAAACATTCTACATCCTTCATCCTCGGAGTTACCACGTCTTTAACCACTCCCATGTATGTACTTTCTTCATCTGTCTTTATTTCTCCTCTATTCGCTGCATCTTTTCCTGGGTCATTTAAATTCCATATTCGAGCACCTCAAGGATGTTGAACATCTCAACAACCTTAACCCATTGACTTTCTTCTTCCCGATACCCCAGGCTCAGATTGGTAGGTCCAGCCACTCCCAAAGTTGCCAAATTCCCTTACCTACCTTCTTCTAATATGCAAGAGGCTATTCACTTTGGAGACCTGCCACAGATATATGTATAACTCAGGATGAGATTTATGTCTACTCCAGCTCATCAAGAGCCAGCAAGAACACAACAGATCTAACTGGACCCCCGATGCTTTCCAAGACACAGGTTCCTCTCCCAGGGTACCTGCTTCATTGACCTTCTCTTGTCATCCACAGCAGAGGCCCACTCGACTCATCCAGCTCTTTCTTCACTCTCATTATGGAGTTAAGCAGAATTCACACAGCTGGGGAGATTACCCTATGGAGCACTGATGTGCCACCATAAAACTATGGTGTCCACTAGAAACTGTCCAGCAACCCAAGTACACAGTTCTAGTCCTAGATCTTCAGGGAAATAATTTTGGGCTTTCTCCACTCTCCTTGAGTTCGTGACGATGCCACATTTCACTATGATAAGAAGCATTGGACTCTACTGCTCATTAGAACCCAGCGGTACATCTCTTTTCACAGTAGACAGGGAAGGACCAGCCACTGTCAACAGATCTGGCAGAGACAAATCTAGAAGAACATTACAAGTCTACATTATTCTGGAATAAAGAAGCATATTATAAGTTCTGTCAATGCTTTTAAATAAGCGTCAGGTCTAAAAGTCTTTTTCTTTTTCTTTTGCCTCTGTTCTTGTTACATGGAAGGGTAGAATAAATTCCTCCTATCAAAACTGGAGACCCAGCTCTCAACCTCCTCAAGGTCCTCAGTCCACCTACCCATCCCTCCCTCTGCTGATCATTCCACCGCCTAGAGTGTCTGCAGGCTGAGTCTACGCACTCCTGCCATTTTACAGTCGTCTCTTCCCATTCCCCAGTGCTCCCCATGCCCCCCTGAAGCACATACTCGCTCTCCTTCCGGACATTTACATATACTCTTCCCTTTCCAGAACGTTCGTTCCTTCTCTACACTCCTATGTACTTCTGCTTATTATTCAAGGCCCAAATTAAAGGTCAGTGTCATCCTCGGGGTGGGCTAAACACTCCATCGCATGTGCACTTTGCTTTCCAGATACCTTCCTGCCGTTGGTGCTGGACCGCATACTCTGAGCCATACAGTGCATCTCGCATTCATTTGCATTACTAGCTCTAGCTCCATACCTGTCACTTTTCCTTCTATCTTCCAAATTATGTGTACCCTTCCTTCACATGCCTCTGCCCCTCCCACCCTTGAAAGGACGGCTTCCCTCTCGTGACCCCTAATGAGCTAGTTCTCCCTACAACTGCCCACGGGGACTGTCTGGCCAAAGTCATTAATGATCT